GAAATGACTTTTGGAGGCTCGGAAGGTGTTATTCGTAATCAGCTCGTTAAACTGAATCTGCCTATGTACAATAAAATCAAAACAAAATTCCACTTGAATTTTGCATTAGCTGAACCTTAAAAAAAAGAAAGGTTTCAAAAATATCAATCACTTCATCATTACAAAGGAGGAGGGCAGATAAGGTCGTTTTCTCGCCCTGAAATTTTCGACTTTTTTGTATTGGAATCATGTCAGAGCATGCCTAGAAACATTTCCTGACACTCAGTTTCACGACAGCTCTCAGTCGAATTTTTGACGCCTGTGGTCCCCTGAGGGTTTTCAAAAAATTTTTCATTTTTGTTTTGAGTGAAAGCCATCTAGATCTATGTAGTCGACCATGGTGATTACGAATATCGTACTTAGAAAGCATTAAACGCTTTCATTCCGTTGGAAACTGAAGTTTAGTGCTTTTTGTCGATAACCGTCCAAATCCTATATAAGCTTAATTTCGCCCTCGTTAAGCTTCCAACCATCTTGAATTTGACATCAATCGATGTAAAATGTTATGCTCTATCCAACGGTGCTATTTAATCGTACGTCAGAAATTTTGTTCGGGCAGCAAGTCCCTGATACGGCTCAAAAACTACTTTTTCACTAGTATTACGCTAATTTGCCACCAGCCTTTCCACCTCACGAAACTTTGTCAGCAGAAATAGCTTTTTGCGCTCTATCGAATGGTATGTTTTAAAACGGCAAAGGAGGTGTACCAAGGGGGCCGAATTTGAAAATACTTGGTTTTTCACCGTTTTTTCACTATAGCTCTATATTTTGCCTACTTTTCAGTCTTATTTTAACACGAAACTTTGGCAAAATGTATACCTTTTGACGTGCAGTCAAACTAGCACACTTTTGAGTGCCATGTAAAAAAGAGAACAGGGAGGTCATCTAGTTAAAACAACTGCTATCTTTTGTTTTACGAACTTTTTCGCTTGTACATCTTATTTTCTAGCATCGTTTTGGTTTTTATCCGACACTTAAGCATTGTGCAAGCAAATGCGAAGTATAGCAGTTTCCAGAAACCCCTTATGAGACCCTTGGGAAAGATCGAAACCAAATTTTCTATACAGCTAATTTTGATCGGGATCCCCGAGGTGTATCAAGTAACTGTCGCAAGCATTCAACTCAAAGCTATCTTCGTTTGAGGCAATCAAAGTATCATATTCGGGAACAGGATAAAAGACTGAGTCGACTAATGTGTATTTCTAAATTTTTAGTTCATTTTCAGTTTTGGGTGAATCTGGGTAATTATTCAACGCGAAAATTCGAAAAAAAATAAAGTAGTCGGATAGGATAGAAATACACATCAGTCGGCTCAGTCTTTTACCCTGTTCCCGAATATGATATTTTGATTGCCTCAAACGTTAAGTTCTGATGGAGAAAATTGAGAACTACGAACAGAATTCCGATTTTTTCGCCTCTGATTTAGAAAGAATGAATTTTCTCAACAACAAAACAAAATTTTGACAAAAGTGCCATATACTTTTAAAGATGGACTCACCGCGGATACATTGCCATTGATACGACGGTTCTATCCCTTGACATAAAAATCTAGATAGGTTCACAAAATAACTCATTCTTCTTTTTCAGGGGTCCATTCAAACGTCCAGGCGTTTACCTTTGGGATGGATTTAATATCATTTTTCAATTCTGCTTCTAACACTGAATAACAAAAAATAGTTTGAACGTTCCGACTAAAAACTCAAGTCGAAAAATATACCTTTTCGAACACCGTCGTTTTTTCAAGTGTTTTCGGTTTGTAGACACGAAAAGAAAGTTTCGAAATATTAAAAACTATATATTCTTGATCAGCACGAAATACTCTATCGAGTGGTGTATAATAAGTGAAAAAAAAATTCCACTGCAAGTTGACATTATGTACATCTTATTATACATCTATAAAATTAGCATGAAATAGCATAAACGTTCTTGGACTTTACAACCAGTTTTACAAAATCCTGTATTTTTTACGTGAAATCCATTGTTCTGTATTAAAAAAACATTTTTTAATAAAACCAATATCATAGAACCAATATTATTTTAGAAATCTTTGGTTTTTGTTGAATTTCTTACAAATGCTAGCAAATTCGATTCCATCAATCCTCAAGCAACCCGCAGTGTATTATTTAGATAGTCAGACATCGGTTCGTTCTATGGAAGATTTAATCACCCTATGTACAGCCACAAAACATTATGTTATTGATACGGAATCAGATCTTGATACTCACTTACCTGCAATTATTCAGATCTTACCAATACCTGCCGACTCCTCAACAACTCCGTTAGTTCTTATAATTATTGAAGTTAATCACTTACCACCGAAGGGAAAATCCCGTATAAAAATCGAAGAAGTGTGCAATGTCATCTTCAAAAAAGATCATCATTTAAATGGATGAGGAGACTGTCTTGCAGAACTAAAGAAGTTCAAAGCTTATCAGTTATTCAATACGTCAAATATTGTTCATTCACATGATCACTACAACACCATATGATGATCTCGAAGGAGACGAACATGCAGATTATCAGGAGTGTAATTGCGATTTTCGTCCGTATAAAGACCCAAGCAACCCCTGGAGCTTACAACGAGCATTAGCTCTCCAATTTGGGTTATTTTTGAATAAGAACCATACATGTTCCAATTGGGGTGCAGGGATTGATTTACAGCTAGGTACTTGGAAATTCCATAATGACAAATTAAGACGAGAACAACGGCAGATCAGAGAAGAACTTGAGTTATACGCAATCAACGATGTTATAGCGGTGTGGTTTATCATGATTCATCAGAAATTATACAAGTTAAACAAGAAGCGGGGTCGCCGACGTTCAACCGATGACTCGCTAACATCGACAACAGTTATAATACCATCTGAAAACAGAATAAACAGAACCGTGAGTATAGGTACAGTATTTTACACTCCAGTAACAGAACCAGTAACACCAACATCCGATTTTGAAGTCCAGGAAAAATTAACAATAGTTAATCATGCAACTGAAACAGTGGAATTATCAGTACCATCAGTAATGGCACAACGAATTCCAATCATAGCAACAACATTACAAAATACACAAGACACACCTATGGATTTGGACGAACTGCCGGTAGGGGACCGGGTTTTTTCCGGCCCCACGGACATGCCAGATTTAACTATAGTACCATCTAGTGAAAATCAACCCCGTAATAGTATTGCAATACAAAAACGACCGTCATATCTCATTCTCGCTGACAGCCACCTTAAACATCTACCAGAACGTCTTCGACAGCCGAACTATGACGTTGATATTAAAATTGTGCGAGGTGCTGAATGGATTAATCAATACGATCCAAAATTGTCCATACAATCAATCATTAGTCTACTTGAAATTATTGAAGCAGTTTCTCGTCGGTAGGTATTGGATTTGTAATACAAACGAACACCTTACGGCATATACCATTCCATGAAGCCATTGAACAAGTTAAGTATATTATAACAGTACTTCATAGTTATCATCCACAATTATTATCATCACAAATCTTCGTAACCCATTGCTTCACTTGTCTTCGCGTATCTAGAAGATTTGATGAAATACAGCTAGCGGAAAACATATCTCGATATAATAATGAACTAAACAACCTGGCTGATGAATTACAATTTAAAACTATTAATTGTGGAATTACGATAAATGACTTAGCATTTGATAAAATGCATGTTAGGGACGCGTCAAAACATCTTATCATTCATTCAATTTTGACCACCTTTCATCAGCATTACTTCTCATCATTACAACCTATCCATAATCATTCTCATTCCCCATCGCTAGTATCAATCCCATCGTGTTTGTCGACATCCTCACATCTACCCAATCAGTTACCAGCTCTTATACCACATGAAAATAAAACATATTGTCAATCCATCCACTGTAGAAAGATGAAGAATATTAAGAGGTCGCGAAAATACCATCAGAAAGATTTCAATATATATATTAAAGATGATAATATCGTCCAAATATATGACGAGGCGAATGCCTAACTTTCGAGCTAATGCTACGAAAGGTTTTAGCAGTTTAATGAAAATCCTTGGTGCGGGGGCGAGTCCGTATGGTAAACATAAAAATTTATACAAAACGCCCTTGAAATCGAATTTTAAAAACTTTGTGTCATCGCTGTGCATAGCTACAGTTAAGTAGGCATCTTTGAGAATAATTTTACACATAAAATCATATTTTTCTAATAAATATTTCACATCCACCGTTGTTTCCATTTTACAATATTCATACTCTACTCTTTCATTTAACCTTTTAAGGTTAAAAACCGGTCTGACTCCACTATCTTTTTGAGTAGCGTAAACAGATGGCTAACAAATTCGACGGGGTATGTTCTGTTAGAGCGATAGCTTTTTTCTTGAGTAAACTTGAAATTTCTTTTTGTAAAAAGCCATTTTCCTCTGGCGAAAAGTCAGACTGGATACACTTATAGCGTGGTGTAGGCTGTTCACCAAAAGGAATGCTATATCCCGCTACTATACTCAAAATCCACTCATCATTCGTAACTTGTTTCCAATTATTTAAACAACCCCGTAGTCTATCTCCTATCTCTTTCGTATTACGGACGATATTTTCAAATGAGAGATGTACGACTGCTAAATGTATATTATCCTTGATATCTGCTATGAAACTGTACTGTTTTACGTTTTTCTGTTCTAAATCTGGCAGTGCTTTTAATGTTAA